CATACATACATACATACATACATACATACATACATACATACATACATACATACATACATATACACATAAACCACACAAACACACAATAGCACAAACACCAGTCTTATGCACACACAAGCACACACACAAACACACACTTGCATAAACAGCAACCACACGTACACACCGCATAAACACACGCACAACACACAAACACACGACATATACAGCACATACACAAACAAACACACACTCGCACAAACATACCAGTCACATGCACGCACCCACACACACACCCACACACATACACACACATACACACACGCACACGCACACGCACGCACACGCACACATACACACACCAGTCACATGAATATACACATTAAAGCCAACACACGCCCAACATACAAACGCACAAGGCGTACATGAGACACACGGCACAGACAGACACAGACACACACTCATACGCACATACAAGCATACACAACCCGCACAAACACACCAGTCACTTGAACATACATACACGACGCACACACACTAGCACACAAATGCGCAATCTTACCAGAAACAAGGTTACATGACACATATGGCACAGACACACACACACAAATACACACATACACACTCACAACATACACACAAAAACACATGCATAAGCAGACCATGCACACACGACACACACACAAGTACACACACGACACAACACTCTACAAACGCACAACGCACATGAGACAGACAAAGCATACACGACACACAGGACAAGCGAACACATATGACATACACAACATACACAACAGACACGCCCACACTCCCTCCATCCCACTCACACAAACAATCACATACAGCATACACAACATACACAACATACACAACACACAGCCCACACTCTCCTCCATACCGCTCGCACACTCGCACACCCACTCTCATACATACACTCATCACATACACAACAGACACACATTTGCACAAACACACCAGTCACATGCACACACGCATACACATACATAAACACACACACGCAAACACACACACACACAAACATACCCGCACAAACACACCAGTCACATTTACACACAGACACGACACACACGAACGCACAAACTAGTCATGCGCACACCACACACACACACACACACTTGCACAGACAACGCACATGAAGACAGAGCATATGAACGTGACACACATGACACAGACAAACACAGGATGCATACACAGCACACACACAACACACACGTCCACACTCCCCGTCATCCCGCTCACACCTACACACACAATAAATTCATACACATATACACATACTCGTACACATCAACAGGCATACATACCCTAATATACACATACATACACACATATAGACAGATGTACCTAGAAGACAGACACATGAATTAGATTACAGCTACGGCGAATTATAAATATACAGAGAGATTAGTGCGGCCTTTATAATTTTTGGCTGAGCACTGTCGAAAGATGTACGGGAATGACCACCAAGTTTTCGTTTGTGATGGAGGAGACCAGTCCGGATCACGCGCGACATGGATTTAAGAGATCGGTTCGCAGTTTCTCCCTACTTTCCAAAAGCCTTGGAAACGGCTTTTCAAGAACTTGAATTTTTAACCTAAAAAGGTGAATACACCCTGAAGGCACCCATCAAGGCTCTCGGTTCCTGATCCACATCGAAAATTTCAGTCACTCCAACCTTTCTTACGCACATGTTCAAGTAAAGGTACGAAGCACCCTGAGCTGTGACGATCCACATGGGTGAATGTGCCGTTAGTATGCCTTCAGAGCTGTGAATTTTTCTTTCGAAGAACCTCGACGTTTACAAACGGCTAAACCTCGAAAGGTTTGGATATTGAGGTAAGATCTTTCAGCAGTGAAAACAGCGGCGAAAGCTTCGAGGGATAAGCGATCAACAACAGCCCAGTATGCGCAGGATTTCATCCAAAACCGCGCAAATAAACAGTTTGTCTCTGATCAGCACCGGATGTTAGCTCGGATCTTAATGTTATTTAGGCGGCAACGCAAACGCCTTATTCATCCCATTGCCTTCACCAAATTCGCTAGCACAATGCGCCAACCCTGTGGATCATGGCGTCGCTACCTGTGGGAAGGTGAGTACTAGCTTTAAGCGACTCAGCACAGAAGAAAACTTCTGCTTAAGGACAGCAACTCAATGACACCGTCATCAAAAACGTGCCCGAGGATGCTGATTTCTTCGATCGTGCCCTTATCAAGCATAGGAAGTACATAGCATTCCTGGTGCCTTTTGCGATTATGCAGGTGCTTGGAATCATGTTACGTTGCGTGGGGGCTCGGACCACATAAACGCCAAGAAATTTTAGCTTATTTGGTGGACGACTGCGTTCCGTTTCAACTGGTTCGATCTCTATGAAACGCGTTGGCAGATGCCTGTCGTCATGTTTTTTGGGTCGACCATCGCAGGTACCTTTTCATGAAACCTAATTCTCTCCTCACTATCTGGGCTCTTATCTATGCAACTCCATAGTTAGTGTATTCGCTACATTCCCTTCCTCTACAGCGTTCACTTCGCCTAGAATTGAACTTGGCTCCCTAGCTTTGTTTCTGGGACCTATTGGCTCCTAGAAAAGGTCAATCTCTGAGCATCAACCCCTTACAATCCTTCATGATAACATTTGGGATTCCAAGAAGATCCATGCCCTGACTACTGCGAACACCTCAGAGGTTCCCCAATTACCTTCACCAATCCAGCTAGGATGTGTACATGCATAAGCGCTTTCTCCAGCCCCTGTGCAATCAGCTTGGAATTTTCTGGATTACTCCTTATAAACTTGTCGTATCTATTAAGTACATCACATTGAGGAAAAAATCACCTTGCCTTCTTTCAACGTTCGTTCGTTCAGGGACCCCGTTACGCTTTGTCTTTACTACTAGACAAATATCACTTTTTCATCAGTGCTATAAACAAAATGTCATTAGACCATAGGGCTTTTCATTTCAGAGCCCTAAGAGAACTTAGCTGTACTTTCTTCGTTATAGGCATGACCAGCGAAGGCGGTGGCGCTGTGGCATTTCCTGTGATGACACTGCTACTTCAAATCGATCCCATAACAGCTCGTGACTTTTCGCTAATCATACAATCAGCCGGTTAGTTCGGGTTTCGGGCTATGTGCAGAACCCTATCACATAAGCACCTTACAGGGATGACCTGCGCTATGTGTGTTGTGCTGATCATGCAGATACAAATCGAAAAGCGGGCCATTGTGTTTGGAACACTGGGATCCGTTCCAGGCCTCGTAATTGGATCAATTTTCGTATGTCTATGAAAATATTCCCTTTTATGTATGGAAGGAAAAAATAAAAAGAATTCGTTTTATAGTTGGATGCCTACCTATCTGCCGCACAAAAGAAGATGCTCTTCGTCTCCATTTGGTCTTCTTTCGCTATTGCATTATTCATTCTGAATTCTCAGCATAAACGACGGACTTATGACATCATTCCCGATTTCTCAGCCTGGAAAGCAATAGTTTTGATCATGACTGGATTCGTTGGAGGTATTTTTTCCCGAATGATCGGTGTCCTTCCCGAAGAACTTACTCATCACGTCTATGCGTCTGCCAACTGGCTTCGCAGATCGGACGTTGGAATTGAAACACCAATTTGGAAACCTTAAGCATGAGTTGAATCTTCCGGTTCGTGCCCACCTACCGGAGTAGGAGAGAAAGGGTGTTCCATACGGCACTCTTGGATCAAAATTATAAGTGATACAAGGTTCCTAAACCGAAGTTTTCCTCGAAAATTATTGGCCTAATGGAGATCAAATCATTAAAAACAATGATGGGAGATGGGAAAACGAATGTGTAGGGAGATAAGGTAACATAATTCAAGAGTATAGTTTCAGAACGGAACGACCCATTTTAGGTGCATTCACCGCATTTGCCGGCTCTGGTGTAGACATTTGCACTTTCTCCATAATCACCTTATTGTTTCGTGTGTCCGAGAAGACTGCTACACCTACATCGGTCGTGCTTATGGGTGAGCATTGCTTTTTTTTTGAAATAACAATAATGAAAAATGATCGTCAGACCAACTTAGAAAATGATGACAGCCTGACTCGATTCCGTTCAAAAAACGGGTTATCCACCAGGAATTTTTTTCACTAATTCAATTCTCTTCACTTTCCATTTCATGGTCAGACTTATCCCTGTTTCCAATGTTCCCCTTAGATTGAGAAAGAATTTGAGGAACGTTCACATCTGATGTTCATTGGGTGAGATAGCTGCCACTTGACTGTCAAAGGTCAATCCTATAAGTGGAAAGACCCCATGAAATCAGTTTCTATTGAAAAGATTTAAGCAGAGGAATGGTGTGGGAAAATGGGCCTCGGCCAGCCATAGGATGTCCTGCATTTTTCATCAGGAATGCTAGGTATAAATGAACGGGAATGCAGCTAATACAGCAGTTCTTAAGGGACCAAGTTTTTAGCCACTGTTTTCGACGACTCTAACAAGTCCTTGCATAACACTGTCACTACTATGACTTGGGAGAAAGCTTAAGGCGCCATCGTGTCCTGGGAATTTCGAATTCCGCTTATTCTGAACAAAAGATGAAAAGCGAGAACCTCGCAGGGTTCCGGATGGCGTTGACATTTCTGGTCAGAAGTCAATTATCCAAAGGCCTCTTTAGGGATCAACACAATGGTTGGCGTATATTGGCGTGCAGTGTGGGAAGGGAATGTTCCACCGCTGGCATGGGAATATGCGGCCGTCAGCGTACCAGTCGCCGTCACAATGGCACCTCTTGGCAGCTTTTTAGGATCTCATCTACATAGGCAAGTGAGTATCGTTTTTCTCATTATCATTACCGTTGCGAAATAAGGCGTATGCAGTCGTCTGGGTGCCTCCCACATGAGCGTACTATTCGTGGGCGTCTTAATGCTTTTTGTGAATGCCTCAAAGAGGCAATGACAACACAACCACTTTCGAATATGTACGTTGGCCAAGGCGGCTATGGAGCCCTTATCACGCCCTTTTTGACCCGACAATGTCCCTTGAAAGCCGCATAGTCATACTAGGAGGACAGCTCACAAACCATTTTTCTCGTGATCGTACGTTTAGGCCATTAACTCAATACCATTTGGAATACCATTAACTCAATGCCGTTTCAATGAAAAAAGCCGAACTCATTTCAGGTCCTAGCTGGATTCATATACGTCTTGGAAGCTGCTTCTCTAGTAGGATTTCTCCTAACAAAGCCATCACCAATCCTCAGTATGTTCAACTTTTCTTTTATAGACCCTTTCTGGTTAGGAGAAACTTCTTACCTGTAGCCATGGCGGTTTCTTGGGTACTGCTGAGATGGCGTGCTTACGAGTATTCAGCCTCATTAAACTCTGAAATGCTTCAGTTTTACAAGGATCATTCATAATTCTGATGGCCTTCACGTTCTTCACATTCATTGCTCAAATAGGACAACGAATCATCAAAGATGTCGACAAAGAGGTAATCTGTTCAGAATTGAAGAAAGAGGAAAGAGAAAGCGAAGGAATGATGAGTAATGGAAGGGAAAACTTGCAAAAGAAGAGGAAAACTCGTGAAAGTGGCCATGAAGAAATATATCACGATAGAGCAGGCGATTATGGGCTTTAACTTGATTATAATTGAGTATTTGGGACACTAGCATTATCCCTACGTGTTTATCCCCTTCCCCTCGCTCTCTTTTCGACAAAAACAAGGTCGAGAGAACGAGAAAGAAGTCGAGGAAACGAATCACAAAGGATTGCGATGGCTAGAAGATTTATCCGCTAGAAAATCAAGTACTTTTGGCATTACGTCCATCTGAGCTAGACCCAAATACCCTGATTCACTCACTCATCACTCGATAGGCTGAACAGCCCTCCACAACCGGCCCAACGTACCAGGTGAGGAGGGGTAAGTATGCTGTGGAAAAAAGAATTGATCTATGCGATTATCCTAACCAATTACACCTCCCCCTTCACCAGGACTTTCCCTATTTTCCCAAAATACTGTCCTGCTTACAAAAAAAATCGAATTTATCGTCGAATTTGTAATCGCTGCATAGCCGAAATAAACAGCACTTATTTGCCTATACTGACCTTCACGACTTTCCAAAAAAAGCCAGTGACATCAGGCACAAAACCCTTTACGGCTACCTCCCTTTCAAGAACTTTCAGTCACTCTCAAGCCTATGATCGCCTTTACCTCGAAAAGTTGCGAGCTTGAGGGTCGATCATAGTGAGTGTTTATGTAAAGAAAAGATACCCTAACTTGTCGGGGGCAGAGTGTAGTCGTACGCCGTAACGGTGGCGAGGAAAATAGTTATCCGTAATTATAATATGCTCGAATTATTACGGAAAATAATTTACAATGATTTTACTACACTTTCCTAGACCCATTTCAGTTCCCTTTCACTTTCTCTCCCGTGTCGCCCTGCCCCCGGTTTTATAATTCTTTCCCGCTTACCATTCCTCTCCTCAGGAATGCTTCTGATATTCAAAGAAGAGGTAAGCGAGAAAGGCAAATTACAGTTGGCGCCTCCATCGCTTTACCAGTTACAGATGGCGTCACACCCAAGCAAACCCATTCTCCACCACTGACACCTTCCAACCAGTTTCCACTCTCGTTCGAAGGCAGAACCACCGTCGCCGACAGAGGGATGGGCGTTCGTATACGCCTTGTGAATCATTGTGCTTACGAATCACGCATTGAAAGATTTTCCCCAACCAAGCAGGTACGAGGTGCCACATAAATGGCGAAGAATATGAGCGAGCTCTGGAACACCCTTCTTCCCATGACTTCCCTTTTTTCACACCAGATTCCCACTAAAACAATTGCACTCATGCACGAGGACTTTCCCGAGGGCCTGCTTTTACTCCATGAAAATCACAAATGTGCATAGTTCCTTCTTTTCTCGTCTATATGCGCTGAATGAGGAATACCAGTATGAACTGGTAATGCCATCGAGACATATCCTGAGCACCCCACATCTAATAAAAATGAAAGACTTCTAAATAGTAAATTCCGGATTAAAACATAGTAAGAAACAGAGGAAGGAGCATTTTCAGTTTGAATGAGAGAGTTGATACTCCAGTAAGATAGAAACCTTCAACCAAAAATTAGACGGCGAACTCTAGTCCTACGAAAGGACGGGACCACATCACTAAATAATCGCCAAGCATTCTGAAATCTGTTTTCATCATCACAACAAAACGAATGCGGCGAAGGAACCTTCTACAAGAAGAGGATGGAAAGGAAATTCTTGCCCCTCAGGGGACTCAGTACATAACGGTATAAACAATCCCTGTAAATCATTTGGGTACACTCAATGTACGTATTTCAGCTGCCTACGATGGTTTGTGAAACGTCAACGGATAAAACATATCCAAAAACTACTTTTGATGTACAGGAACCAACGGAGAAATGCAACGAGACACCCTAGGAAAAGGGATCAAATCTTGTATATGGGATTATTAAATTAATTTTATTTATTTTTATGATAACAAAAATACAAACAATAACGACTTCAACAACGACTCGAGAAAACCACGCATGAAATAAACACGAGAAGTCGGAAAAATCATACATTACAAACAATATCTTGCTTTGGGATCACAGAACTTCATCCCCCCATATTAGCAGCGATTCAGACTATTCTAGAAGCTTCCTTTAGAGCAAATGGGGTCGATCTGTGAACTCAGGGCAAGCTGATACCGAAAAAGCATAGAAATCAGTGTAACCCTACTGGACTAGGGATGAGAAATAATTTGGAAGAAAAATAGACTCGCGAATATTCAACAGGTAAAAACGTGGCAAAACCTGACAGAATCAGTCAGCGCTCAGTTTATACTCAGAGGCAAAATCCTAGGCGACGAAAGATCGAGAAAAAAAAGTGAGCATTAAGCTTCGCTTTCAGCACTTTGTACGTATTCTCGGCGTATTTTCAGTGATGATAGATCGTTTTTGTCCGGAAAGACGGACAACATGTCGTCGTTTTCTTTATACACCCGCACCTGAGAAAGTTCAGATTATTGAAAGAATGGATAAAAGTAAAACTCCCGTCATTAGTATCAAGCGGGAACATGAAAAATCTTCAAGGCCCGCAGTTCCTTTGTGCGACCGCCCATTAGTTTAAGGGGATAGTTTTTTGGCCTTTCCTACTGATTACCCGTGAACTCAGAGAACTTCTGATCGCTCTTCCAAACCAAGATAGGTTCAGGTAAACCTATTCAACTACAGTGGCCGAAGAGAGGAACAGTTGCGGCGCGACCCTAGCACATTGATAAACAAAGCGGTTGCTACCCGTATAAGTCCGTTCCCAGCAATCACCTACTGTTATACCCCTCTTTACCACTTAAAATCTCTCACTAGCCATTTTATATGATCGTCTTTTCTGGTCAAACCGAAACGCTTCAGGCCTTGAAAATGTCCATAGCGAGAAAAATCGATGGGGCCATTCGTGACTGGTACAGAAAAAGGCCAAAAACCATGAAACTGCTACATATGTAGAGGAAACTTTTCGCAGACGCAGAAGAAAAACCGCCTTTCCAGGCCAACAGAGAACGCTATATCGAAAATTAGCTCAAAAATTGGAACTGGCTACACATTATTGCCTAAAAGGATGTAAAAACAGTTGGGATAGGGGTTCAAGTTCAAAAAGTAAAAAGTATTCCAAAATTCGCCTTATGAGGCTTAGTTATATAGAGGCCCTTGTACATATTGGGAGCATTTCCTGATCAAAGCTACAGATTCAAATGAAATAGATCTACGGTGAAGGTGGCGAGAACGAAGGCAACGACTTGGGCGCACATATACACAGTGGTGTATGCGGCCGTGTGTGCCAATGTGTGTCTGCGTCTGTCTTGCATTGATCGCTTGTCCACGTGTGTATGGGCCGTGTGTGAGCGTGTGTGTGCCTGTCTGTGCCCTGTCAATCGGACGTGTGTCTCTTCATCGATTCGACCAACAAACACACATCCGTATAGCACGTAAACACAGCCCTCCATCCATTCAGCGCTCGATTTCGGCTATAGTATGGTTCCACCCCACACCAAGTCATCTACAAACCCGTCAACAATGTCGGCTACGATTCCGGTGGCATTCGAGGCCCAACGTCGTGCTACCTTGAGAAGGCTGTTTAGTGGGCTGGACATCGAAATTTAACCATATCATGAAGTTCCCGGCTTGAAATTTCCAAAAAACCTCAAGTGGAACGACATATTCTGATGAGGAGAAAACAGATTTGAGTGTGTATCCAGAGGCTTAGTTCCTAAGTCACGATTCGGCTCTTCGATGAAACAGTAAGTCTTAGGAAATGAGCCGCTGTGAATACATACAGCTTTAACACATCGAAGCCAAGTTTTAGCCGATGACCCCCTCTATTCCATTAAATTCTTACAAGGCCAAAAACAAACACAAAAACGTTACCTGATCAAGTTGCATATGAGGGCAGATCTGCAGGGTTTCGGTAACCAGCTGATGAAGTACCTGAAGAGAGTAATTAGCGCACGAGAATGATAAAATTACAGGAAGTTATATATCAGAGGTGCTCATCTATGATTAATTCACTCAAGCTGCGCCATGTACCGCCATGATTGCACAAACAATGGTGAAGAGAGTGAAAAGACTAGTCATATTACTGATAAAATGGAGTCAGATTATGGGTATACATGCCGCATCTATTAGTTATTCCCGAAGGGATCAAGACTCAACTTGAGCTGAATTTGATTGTACTGACCATGCGTGTACGACTAACCATAAGTCACTAAATCTTTTCTTTACGGATTTGATTACGAAGTTCGCTCAAATATCATTCAGGAAAACGGGCTGCGGTCTCATCTTGAAGACTTGATATGTATTTCTATTGGCTTGTGAGTTCCATAGTAGTTGTTTTTTCGCGGATGTAATTAGGGGATATTTTGTGAAAATAGAAATGGTAGAGCGAACAGCGATCTGAAGATGGTGAAAGTGAGAAGCATGATTCACCAGATAGTCAAGGGAATCGTCACAGGAAAAGCCTACTGGGCATTGTAAGAGGCACAAAGTGGTCGAAAAGCAAAGCATTGCTCATACATTTTTACCTTTCTATAGTTCAGATATACACCATAATGGCCTCAACTAAATGTATCATGGCTATTCGCGTCATCATTCTCTTTGTTTGGATAGCCTGTGAAGGGTTTCTTGGATTGATACAGGCCGTTCTCGCAGCATTAGAGTACATGATTAAGAGATTAGATTGCAGTAGGTGTACCTACCAATATGGCGTATATCTTGAGGACTATCCTCGGGTACCTTTAGTCTCTGCAAGGACAATAAATTCATTGCAGCTCTTGATACCGCCGATTGTTATTTCGATCGAGCAAATGAGTCAGCCAGTTTTGCCAAGTTCGATGGCGGGGAGCAGATTGGTTCTTTTTTGGCATCAATAGGAAAGTTTGCAGATGCAGTGGGGACGACTTGGAGGTAGGTGACTCCCTAGCTCATCAAAAGTGTCGCAAGATGCAACTCCGTCTTCTTCACCCTATGAAGTTTATGCTATATAGGAACTAGGTTTGCTCAGTAGAACGACTAGGAGCAAGTGTAGTATTGATGGTCCTTCCCTTCTGTTCGTGGACGCTTCAAGGCCTTCGATGGAAGGAAAAGTCCAAAAATGCAAGGAAATTGCCAAAAGGCACAAGCAACTCATACGAAATGGAGGTTTAGATAGTTTAGTTAGGTTTTGCCCCAAACTAGATCCCCATATCGCATGTTTGTTGAGGAGATGCTGCTTCGGTGTGGAGGCTTTTGTCCTGCAAAGTTGCGTAGAGCTCAAACTTTACAGCCGAATGCATTTCATATCTCCGTTCACATCAAAAAAGCAAATAAGAGCTTTATAATGCCTACTGCAGGAGAAATCTTTTACAAGTGACTCATTTGTTTGTTCGTTTACCTAAAGCACTGATAGTATATCGACGATCTATTTGGTAATCTAGGTAATGTTTTTGAAGAAGGAAAGGCCATAGACGTCGCGAAAGAGCTCAGAATTGGTCTAAGTCATCCATCACTCATTATCGAAAGATTCATCTTTGACCCTTACAGACCCAATCAAATTCCTTTCTCATGGGACATTTTTCACAAGACTGTCCCTCCTTTGCTGCTTGTTCGCTGCTGTTTCACAGGAAATAACCCTTACAGCAGTAATAAATCGGCAGAGGAGACAAAAACTCGAATCAATTTAACTGCTCGTAAAACCTACTTCTTTACAGACAGACATCGATTCGGCGGAAGACACCTCCACCCATACAGATTGTGTTCCTTCTGACATCTGTAGCAAACCGTAAAGTTAAGCGTCTGCATTGGACCTTATTAGAAAACGGTCGTACGAACTTACCTTCGTTAGGTCACTGTTGGTAACTGGTGCTAAGCTAATCACTAAACCTTCAGAATCTATGAGACAAGGCAAATTTGGAAGATCCACTACAAGATTGAGATACCTGAAAAAGAAATCGATTAAGAGAGGGTACTAACGGTGTATGGAGCTTAGCTGTAATACTTTCAATAGTCATGCCTGCCTACTGCCAGCCACAGTCGCGCAATTTGGCAGATGGCCTTTTATAAAAACAGACTACTAAACAGTGCATTAAGAGGACTGTGTGCACTGCCAGTACGAAGTAAAACCCACATTCCTTACTTACTTTTATTGAAATAAAAAAAACCTATCTAAATTCACAGGCTGGGCAATAATTCCTAATTCCTCGTAAACACCCTTTGGTCAACAAACCAGGCTCAGAGACATAGATTGGAGGTTCTGCGCCAAAAACAACTGAAAACTTTACATTAAAAAAAAGCCGAGGACGAACCGATGCAAGGGATTGAGGGTATTGCGTTTTGTTCGCCTTCGGGCCAAATCAGCATCCCTGACCAAGGCGTCGATTAATTCCCGTGCACTAACCGGTTTCTTCTTATGTAAAGCCGTGATCTGAAAATAACAATTGAGCATTTGAGGATTTAAGATTTTTTATTTAAATTTCAATTTTAGTGATAGGCAAAAAAATTCCATCGAAATTTCATCAAAATCCCTCAAATTGAAATTCCGACTTAGAACCAAAGTTTAGCCATGATCATACATTAAAGTTATCTTCTCGAGTAGATAACTACACACGGTTGAGTAGATCGTTAATACAGGACCGTGTTGAGGCACAGATAATGAAGCGAAATGAATCCTACCCAAACAGATACAGTGACCCTTCGCGAATTATTCAGTAGGAATAGGGGAAGAAGAAAACTGCTCCTTTAAACCCAAGAAGATTGTCGCTGATTATTATCCGAGTTGTTATGTACACCCCTCCCTACCTGACAGCCGTGGGCAGATTGGTAGGGGCTTCACGTCTTTTCAAGGGATTTAGTTTTCTTGATTCTCGTACATTACGAAGACCGTTCTATCTGCTGAGCTCAGGTTTTCTAACATAGTTTATAGATTGTAACTAGCTTTTGGTTATCGTATTCCTTTCGATCACAGCCGTGTGAAAGGAATGTGACGCTGCTGAGCGTGCCGTGTGAGCATATTTATGCTGCGTAACCACTACGAACCTGGCTCGCTTTTCGTTGCTTATGCAGAGCAACCGCTGTCACGCACAGTCAATATTATTGAGAAGATGGCACGTCGTGCAAGATACGACGGATTCACCATCAATGCGCTTTTGGTCTTCTTAGGAAATACTCTAACACAACACAAATCTCGAAGACTGGGCTCCTTCGAGATCTTGGAGTAAGGAGGTTTGCAGCTTCTGATTACAAGGGAACAGCTACTCTTCGTAATCAGGAGGTGCGAACCTGGGTGAGTATGCTTTTTCCTACAATGACTGGAAGAATTGTCGTTGAGCCCCTTCTGTCATGTAGTTGAAAGATGAATTCATTTTAAAAATTTTTCAATAAAATTTCCATCTACGTAAATTTTCAGCTAAAAAACATCACTCCATCACTCACATACAGCTCATCTCGAGGGAGAGCTAAGTACTTCAGAGGTGGATTGAAAGCCTTTATTTCATGGGTACCGATAGCAGCTACTGCACGATTGGCGCACAATGATGAGGCATGGAGCTTTGTCTATGAACAAAGACATAGAGGTACAAGTAAAATCTGAAAGAAATAGGGAGAGTTTGTACCTGTATATTTATAAATTTCTTGAAATTTTCTCCAGTGAGGTCAAGATTATTGAAAACACAACACACAAGGAATGGTCGTATAGGCGTAACCGATTCCATTCGTTTCACGTGCATCTAAAATTAGGGTTCAGGAATTTCAAAAATGGCAAATTGTACAACGTAAATTTTTTGAATTGGCCCCTTTTCTACATTAAGTCTTTTTAACTTCGTTTCTTTTCACCTTTCCGGCTGCTCATGAACAAAAGGACTTTAATTCAAATTTTAGGCAGTTGTAACTCAAAAAATAATATGCGGTACAAGAGAAAATCTGCTAGAGCGCTCGAAACTTCCCCAAAAGACGTCCCAAATCTCCGTAGTTTTTCATATGGAAGGAATCGAACTACCATCCTAATAACAATCTAATAACAACCTCAGCCTCACTGCACGAACAAACCTATTCAAGCTGAGGAGATTTGAGAGAGACCCACGCTCTGAATGCTCCAGAAATATCTCAACTGTCTTCTACACAAACTTTTTCTGGGCCGTTGAGCAGTGAAGAACTCAGTCACTCCTGTATACGAATCACGCAATAGTTGGTGGAGACTTTTCTTACCTGGAGAGAGACATTTCCTTTTCTAAAAAAAAGAAAACCTTCGAATAACCCAACGGCACTAGAGTCAGTACGACACTAGACGAAAAGGAAAACCTGTTAAACACAAGCAAACAGAGGCCACTGCTCGCCTTCCTCATTTTCAGGGATCACTGCTTTACTCTCGAAATATCGTACCCACCATACCATTGGGTCACAATACTTATGGGACAGAAGCAACAAGAAGCCTAATGATTAAGGGCGTATACCACTCAAACCTATTCCAACACTCACATTCGGGGCACCAATCCGGACAAGCAAAGCTCCATCATCCGATTCTGACTGCTTTGCAGAGGTTGCATCCTCAGGTTCTGCTTCCGACCGTAACTTCTTTGAAACTTTCGGCGCGTTTTTCGCAATGTATGCAATGACAGCGGAAACCTGTAAGTGGGAATAAGCGGCAAAAAACAACGAAGTACGGTAAAAATCGCAACAGGTATGAATGCATCGACTAACCTTAGCCCTCTTGTCGTTTGCCAGTTTCTTGAAACGACCATCCTTGAATGGGTTTTGCGATAAATCCAAGACTTTTATTTTCTCCATCTGACCAATAGCCCATGGAAGAGAAGTGATTTCATTTTCAGAGAGATTTAAGGACTTCATATGCTCAATGATATTGAGTTCTGGAGTCACCTGATAAAAGCATTGCAATGATAAAAACAAGGATCGCATCGTATGAAGTACTCAGGTACTGAAACTCTCACCTCGGTTATTTTGTTATGAGCAAAATTCAACGTGTGCAGGTGGACAAGTTTCCGACTCATTAATGTTGGTGGTATGGCCGTTAAACTGTTGTATGAAAGATCGAGCACATGAAGCGATTCAAGGGCTGAGAAGTCGAACAATCCATCGTCTTTTAACTCAAACGGACAAAATTCATGTGGGCAACGATTTAAATAGATAAAATCAGATGAAAGAGAAGAAAAGCTCAGTGAAGCGCTCCCTATCACTAGTGAAAAATTTTGGACTTTTCCTGCAAAAAAGAGCCTATTACTCAGAGTATAAATAGCTTTTTGAGCAAATATGGAGCGAATCGAACAGAAAGGACGAGAGCAACAATATGAACCGATTCACCGATTTAGGACAATATCATTTAATCAGACAACAATCATTATAACAATCAAACATGAATCGAACAATACCTGGTTCCCGGAGACAACCAATGTTTCAAGCTTGGTAAGCTTTGAAAACGATGCTGGCAGCCGCTCCAACTTATTATTGCTAAGATCGACGAATACCAGTTTTGATAGCGTACCTTATTAGTACATGTGTATTTATCGGAACAGCCAAGACTGTAGAAAAACCAACCTATTTCTTCTGGGACAGAAACTAGTTCGTTCCTTATAATGACAAGTTTCGTGAGATGCGAGCATGAGACAATAGACGGTGAAAGGTATGACATTCCACAACCCGCTATACTAATGAAATTAAGTTGGAGATTCTGAAACGATGCTGATTTTTTGATGACAAAAAAGAACTACTGAAATAAATACCTTCTCAAAAACCGTTCTTTGGAGGTCATCATCGCTGAGACTTGGAGTCCGTTGGTTTGAGTCCAAGCTTTTCAGGACAAGTTCGAATCGTTGCTCTTTGGTAACTACGGCTAACTCGGGCCATTCTGCCAATGCGGTCATCTTGGAAAAGGTATGATTTTGATAGGGAAATGAACTCAAAACCTTTGAATACACAGAAAAGTACTGAAAAACACTATGCTACACGTAACTTCTTAACTCGGAAAAAAAATTAAAATAAAAATGATCTCTCACTGGAATCACTTAATAGTTGGGTAAGCTTGAGTTGCAAGCAGATCTTGCAGTAATTGATGGCAATTTCTTTTCAATATTCTTTAATGATAACAACAACGGCTAAAATATCCCAAAGTTATTCATAAACCTGGGTCTATCCAATGACCATCAGCCTACGATTCAGTAGCTGCTAGACAACGGATCCTATGTAACCTCACACTACTGTTCAAACATCTTGACTCTTGGGCAGTAAACTCTTCTAAAATCGAGTAAGCTTCCTTGACAAAAATCTACAACCTCACTGAAAAGGCTGCCATAGCCCTGGCCTACCGCTCTGAAGAAGATCGATGCGCCAGTCTTCATCAGCTGGAAATCTCAAAAGGTAAAGTCGCTCACTGCTCTGCTAAGAAGGTGCTTGCAAGTAAAAGGATTCAGATCGGAGGCCACACTTTTTAATTACGTTGGTATTTTGTAGAAGAGACGGTTCTACGTTGAAGGGATGGAAAGCGCAGTAGCGGAGTCACAGGTCACAAGGCCCATTTATAGGTAGTACCCCAACACGCGTCATCACCAAATAAGGAAAACCTTCCATTAATTATATTATACATGACGGCATAATCTCAAAACGTTGCAGATGGAGTTCAAATACCGCAAGATTCCTGCGCCGGCAAACATCACGTGTATAATCAGTGTAAATAAACAATCTCGTGCAAAATATTCATAACAAACTTATCAACAACAACGAAACTTTCAAAAGCTACCTAGACAAAAATGTGTACACAGTTCAACTGAGAATTTTCGAGACTTACATCTTTAGCATGTATCTATCTTATCAATGCAAAAACATATATTATTTAATCTTTCACTCTCGTTTGAAGCTTCTTTAACCGGTTCTGAAGACTATCCCGTAGCAAAATATTCAGCAGTGACGACGAATTGTCAGGTTTTTCGCCTAATACAGGCGGGAAAGGATTTCCTGAAATTTCTTTTTGGTTCAATATTGCATTCTCCCTATTCTGAAGAACACTGTTCTCCTAAAAAATGAGTATTGGGACAAGGTAAGCCATACCATCGATTTCCAATATAGCAATATCGACTCTTCTCCATCGTTCATATCTGGGTCCTGTGCTCTGCATAAGACGTTGTTTTGGAAGACGATATATTGACGTGAATGGTCCATCGATGCCAACAAATCGCGGTACAATAACCAGAAAAACATATTCATTAATCCATTGCTAGCGAACAGGTAAGAACGGCCAAATTCACCCTACCTTATGCATTTTTGTGATTAGATCCACCTCGGGTAACCACCATTCCATCATTTCTGTGGTGTATTCATCATGTTCACCTCTTTCAACTCCAAGTTGGATTAACTTAAATAATAATCGCATGCTGTACTTCTGCTTATTTACTCAAAAAAAGCCTTTACTGCCGTTCCAACAATCATAATTTGATTAATTTTGTAAGGTTATCATAGCCGCAGTAGTATTACAGAGAAAAGCCTAGGAAATGCCCTCGAGCTGTGAAGGGTTTTACCTCATTTGAAAACTTATATAACATTGCTAATTCGTGTTTTCCTTCTATTATAAACAGCAGAATTTCCAAAAAAATAAAAATTACCCTTTCTAGGTACGGTCGAGCTTCTACAGCTCTATTCCATGGCAACTCAATTCGTTCTTCACGGACTAGACGTGTAACGATACGACGAAGAATCTTAAAAAAAAAAAAAAAAAAAAAAAAAAAAAAAAAAAAAAAANAAAAAAAAAATTAAAAAAAAAAAAAAAAAAAAAAAAAAAAAAAAAAACAAGGAAGAAGAAGCTGGAGAGTAATAAACGAAAATAGTTGAGCCATGAACTTCCACGAGAAAAAGATTTACCTCAAGCCGGGCTCGAGAGCTTGGCTCGATGTTGGCTGTCTTTAGTCGCTGAGGTATATGCCCTATTGTAGCACGAATGCGCGGAAGGGTGGCGACAACACGATTCGCCATTTCCCTCTTGAAGATTATTTTCAGAGAAAAATCCAAAAGAATTTTTCATAGGCCGAGCTCCACACGATCTATCACAAATAAAACGTAAAAATGGATGTCACCCATGGCAGTATTCGATCAGATAGAAGAAACGTTTACCACACCTAACTGAGATAATCTAATCTCAGGATATCACGTGAATCACAGATGAAAATTCAACACAGTTCGCAAAGAAAGTTAACATTATCGTTACTGACACATTAAAAAATCAGTTAAAAAGATATAAGAAACATGAACTGAGCGAAACCAAAAACAGATGAAAGAGGGGAGAATACAGAAATGTTTGAACATCAAGGATAGTCAACACAATGATCTCGCTAGAAAAAGCAAGAGAACGAGAAAACCTAGAGAGATTACAAACCCTATAATACATTCGTATTTGGACAGGTCAACATGAAGGTGCTAGAATAGAAGAAATACTGACTAGCTTTTTAGCGACCTAGACCCCTGCAAAAATTTCTAAGCCACCTATTTTGAAGGGAGCGCAAATTTGTCGAAGATCCTCCCTCCCAATCCTCAAAAGAAGCTGGATGTTCAAATACGACCAAATTCGCAGTCACACAGAACCCAAAAACAAGTGAGGCTCGCAATAACGAGTACAGTATGTGAGAACGCACCCTTTTCCGCTAATCCTTCAACATACCAATTCTGCAAAAGTCAAGCCATTCAGAAGATTGGAGGAGGAGTGGGAGGAGAAATCATTTTAACTCAGTGGCAGCAATAGGGTTCTTAAGCTGAGTCAGTGATTCTTCCAATAGGCAAACCACTCATACGCACGAAAAAGTCAGTCTCAAATTCAATACAGGCTCATAAACGAATTATTACACTTGCGGCTAGCCAAAAAAAGACCTAATCGGAGGACAAAATTAGAAGTATAACAACGTTAGACTCGAAACTGTATGAAGCACCGGATCAGACTATGGTACAGAAAATTTTAAAAATAGGAATCATTTCGCAGAAATGAAATAAGAACTGACTACCCAGCAAAACAGTTCTTACCGTAACAATTTCATGGATAATAATCAAAACAAGCACGTTGGACCCTGAAGAAGTCAGCTACATCACGTAAGATAATTAAGCAGGGTGCGACAGGCGTAATAAACAAGGAGGGTAGAGAGCTTGCTATAAAATGGTCATCATGAACATTTAAAATGCAACAGTGAGATTATGCTGCTGGAACACATGCAATAAACATATGAATGGAGAATAATTTAAAAAATCGACTCGTAGCTACGAATCGCTGGAAATGGTGGACTTCTGTCGAGTCTTTTTCGCGGTAACGTATTGAGTGTAGTCAGTATATCACCGAAGGAAGGACGATTCGAACTTGAAAAGCTCCAACAACGCAGCAATAAGTCCTAAAATTGAAATAATAAGTACCACTCGAACTTTGCTTTTTGTAAACTTCACATTAAGATTGCTAGCACTCACCTTCACCTCTGTGACAGTATTTAGATTGTATAGTGGCGCTTTAATACCATTGCCTACCATCCAAATGATACGTGCGGAGAATTCACCGTCAAATGGAAATGACGACGTCAGCAGCTCAAACCATATAGTACTGTAAATGTGAATGTTACAGAACAATACCCCATTTTACAAAACGACTAGAATTTCACTACAAATGGAAATAAACGACATAGGCAATTCAAATAACTGGTCTTTTCTTGAGTACGCATCATAATTCAAGCTATTCGTGACATCAGTACTAATTAGGCTTCTCAATCATTGTCCACGGAGTGAGGAGCCCGTCACGGTCAATACATGCAGATTATAGTATTAGGAGCTTCGATGAGACCTAAACAGTTTTGCACACAGTAGCCGTTTTCGCATTCGCCCTCAGTAGCCGTTATGACGCTTCCCGACTCTCAACCTTCGCATATATATTCTGAATGATGAGTGATTTATACTGCAATGTACTATACCTACTAATTAATGAGAATACTCATTCAACGCGGTTCGCTCCCTCTACACTGCCAACATTTCCACTTCTCAGGTAACTCTCTCCTATATTTCCCAGTTCTTAAGCATCTATTAACAACTTTTGTGTGGGTTTCGTTTAACTTCCATCATGAACATCTTCCTTTCCAAAAACTGCTCGTCTCCGCTATTTCCTCATAGCTAACATGTCATAGAACGAAAAGTCTTTTTCATTTGAGACAACGTCTATTTCGGAACGCTTTGTCTAATTGCCTATTCAGGCGTGTTCTGTTTGCCCTATACCAAGCACCCTTCATTCTTTGTGACAGTCCACTTGTTCATGGTGTTAACAAACACCTTATTTTCAAAGCCCGTCACCCAATCGCTGCCTTCCTTAACATAAGTTTATAATCGAGTGAAAGTATAGTGAACATTTAGGACACTGCTAGGACACTACACGAGTATCCTAGCTTATAGCTTTCTGTGGTATGGGGTTTGGGTCATATCAACAAAATCTAACGGAAATGTAATATTACTTCAAAACCTTCAGTTCGAACGCCTTTGAACAAACCTGAAGGCAAACACATCGGTACTTTCGGAAAATGGTAACTCTCGCCAGTCTTCACTTAAAGCTCTTATAAGCTCTGGGGCCAAGTACGACAACCAATGCGCCGGAACAATCATTGTGTAGTTTCTGAAGAAAACCATACATTATTCCCCAAGTTTTGCACTGAAGTACTTTTAGTAGGAGGTTCATATACGAGTAGTATACCTGCTCGGATGCCTCAAGCGTTTCATGCTGAACAACCCAAAATCGGTGATCACCACTTTGTTTTTGCTTTCGATGAAAATATTCTTGGAACGGAGATCCTTGTGGAGTATTTTCTTCGTGTGAAGATATGAAACTCCCTTCAATAAAGGTTCCATTCACCCCGTGTTGTAGTGCCGAACAAAATACCGTTACCACAATTTCGACGACAAGTGTTTACCTGGCATATTTGAGTTGCAATAACTAGAGCTGTTCCTAAATCGATGGGATCATTCGTCTCATGAAGGATCGAGTGAAGAGGACGTCCTTTGCATAGGCTCATTACAATCCCGAATTTATCTGATTCAATACAGTAGCCAAGAAAAAGAACTATATTGTCATGTCTGGTATTCTGCAAGAAACAACGATTCATTGTTATCAGAAAAAAGGAAACCTAGAGACAAGAGCTCAAATACAAACCTTATGTGCTGTCACTTCGGATTTGAACTCATCCAATCGCTTGGACTCCTCAATATGATTCATATTCAAAAATTTCACTGCAACGTCACCGAAGTGATAGCCTCGCAGAACCTGAATAGTGTAAGGAAATCGAAATGTTCATAGTGCCAAGAAATATCACGGTAACATGGACTTACATTTCCGAATCGACCATGTCCGATCAATGAATTTTTTTCGAAGTCAATCTTTTGGAAAGGTATATTGACTTCATTCCAACTAGCCTGAATGGATATGGTTATATCAACAAACGAGCCATCGATCAAGCATTAGAACATGGTCTTTTGTCTGGTG